TCAGATTTTTCTTGGCTATTCCTCTGAAGTCTGTTTTTCATTATCTTGTATCCCATGCAAATTCTAGAACCAAGATAACCCAAACCTCTGCCCACATTCTGTCTGGATGTACAGTGCAACTAGAAGGCCGTCCTGGTCCTGGCCTGGGTCAGGGAAAGTCATGTCCTTAGGCAGTCATGGGGTAGAGTGTTCTCCTCTCAGGACTGCAGCAGGATTCTGTAGTTTTTTTTTTTTTTTTTTAATGTATTTAGCACAGGGTCTACGGGATCTCACTACACAGATCTGACCTGTAGTGATCCTATTTTCAGCCTCCCAAGCGCTGGGATTGCAAGTGCAGGCTGCCACACCCAGTCTCACAATTTTTTTTTTTTTTTTGGAGGGGCCAGTTCAGCCCACTCTGACAGTGGGGCTGGCACAGCATGTAATGCAGGGGATCAAACTACCACGTACACCTAAGCTTAGCTAAGCAGGCGCTTTAGACTGCTGAGCTATCTTGCCGGCCCTCTAGTTTTCTTTAAAAAAAAGAAAAGCCTTATCACTCTCACTTCTGTGTCTATTGGTACCCAAGTGATCTCTTTCTCTACCGTATTTCATAACGATCACTGAATGGAATTGCCGCAAGATGACCTCTGTCGCGGTCACTGAGTCAGGCTCAATTTTTTGAGACAGGGTCTCACTATGTGTAGGGAGCGAAGTACTCTATACCTCGGTATCGAGGACAAGGCCATTGCCTCTCATGGGCTTGGCAGGGCCTGGTCACAAGTGTGCACAGCTCAGAAAGCTAGTGTACATAGTGACTTGATCTTTGCTTGACATAATACAGTTTCCTCTTGTTCCCCATGAAGCCACCAAGACCAGATGTTCTGCTAACAGATATTCTTCCTGTCCCTGATCCTACCCTCCTCTTAAGCTCTCTATAAACTTATGCATATGCTGATGGTATAAACATGCTGCAGGTGTTGGGCAATTAGCTTTTCTCCCATCAGGAGAGATTGCTCCATCTGACCTCAGCTTTTTAATTCCTCTCTTCTTCACCTCCACTGTCCTCCCTCTTAAGTTTTAAGAGCTGCATTGGATGCAGCAACTAAGTAGTTCAGGCGAGCCTCAAACTCACTATGTAGCCCAGGATAGGTTCAAACTTGCTACAATCTTCCTGCCTCAGCCTTCTGAGGGCTGCCAATACACTTGGCTCGTTCTTAACTCTACACCTGATTCTCTTGGGTTTCCAAAGCAGATGATATAATCCACACTCTTGGCTTCTACAACAGAAACCTCTGTCTCCCTCCTGTGACCTCAGACACCCTCGAGTCAGCATAGGTAGGGGCTCAGAATCCCAATAGAGGGACACACATGTTTTAGGGGTCTCTCCTCCTCTTTCCAAACAACTACAGCCAGCTTCTCCACAGATTCCCTGCAGACCAATATACCTTGCTTCCCCCTCGGCTCACACCTGCCTGCCTGCTCATCCATGCTATGCTGGGCCACCAACTTCCTATGGGCTGTCTGTCTACTGCTTCCCACCCCGCCGCAGAGGCACCCTTCATTGCTTTCTGTAACCAGAGGCCCTGTTCTGCCAGCATAAGGCCTTCTGAGGACACAAGCCAAGTCCTAGGGTC